AGACCCCAAGAAGGCTGAGGGGACAGAATTGCACTGGACTTAAGGCCTGTGGAAGCTCGGGGCCAGCAGGGAGAACGCCTGTTCACTGGAAGGACAGGGCGAGGAGGACAAGAAAGCTAGGGGAAAGCAGGCGATGCGAGCGGGGCAGGCCGGCCGCCCTCCTGCGGGGGACGGTCGGTGGGAACTGCTCCAGCGTCCTGGTCAAGAGGAACATGCAGACGTGCAGCACCGAGTCCAACCACCTGAAGGTCCGCAACTCTTCCCCGAAAGGCGGTGGGCGTGGAGCTAGCGCCACCGCAAAGGCGGGCAGATGTCATGAGGCTCAGATGGGCCAGTGAAATCTGGCTTCCTCCCAGGTGCGGAGCACCGTCTACAGGAGCGCCGGGGCCACCCTGGCAGCATCCGGCACAGGACGCGCAAGGACAAGCACCACCCGGCCTGTGCTTGGCAGCCATCCGCAGGGCCAGCGCCGTCCTGCGCTGCTAGAAGCCCACGGCGGTGAAGAGGTAGCAGGCCCGTCCCACCAAGAGTTCCTGAGCACCCTCAAACCCCCCAACAGCCAACTTTCCTCCAAGAACGAACGAACAAACAAACAAACAAACAAACAAACAAACAGGAAGGCAGGAATCTGAGCCTGGGTAGGTTGAAGAAGATTCAGAGACTCCACCCACCCATGATGTGTGTCTTTTTTGCACAGCTTGCTACTTGCTCCAGAAATCAAATCAGCAGAACACACTGTTCATGGCCATTTCTCCACAATTCAGACTGGGAGAATTCCTCGCGCACTGCAAGGGCCCTCTGTCATTTAATGGACCTTTCATCCTTTGTGGCTTGAAGGGGTACAAAACTGTAAGGTGTTCCCGCTGTTCCTGCAGTTCATAAAGGCCAGGTACAATTAATGGCTAAACCCGAGTTTCGAGATGGAACAGTTTTAGGGCACAAATCAGAAAGGCAAAGAGAGAACTAGTTCATTCTTCGACCACTTCCTACTGCATCATTCTGGGGCAAGAGAGCCTCAAGAAATGTCACACTGTCCTAGAAATGCCATTTCAAAGCTCCCAACATCGTCAAGAGTAGTTCTCCAAGTATGATTATAATGTTTATTTGAATATAAAGTATAATAGTGATAATTAGAAGTATAATATAAAAGTGTAATAGTAATACGTGATGGTAGTTTCATTAGCATTACGTGGCACCGTTGATTCCCCCCCTGGCATAATTATCGTGTGTGTGTGTGTGTGTGTGTGTGTGTGTTTAAATCCTGTTTATAAAAGTTCCTCTTTTTACTTAAATTACTTAAGAATGCAAATTGTACATAGTGCCTTGATGATCTTCTTACCAGAATTCTGGACAAACAACCTAATATTCTGAGTTTAAATTAAATTCGTTATCCTTGGGAAGTATGATTTATTGAGATCTTCTGAGGGCTACCTGTGTTTAGCTTTGCAGAAAGCATAGAGGAAAAGCCTGTCTGCCTCATCTATCTAAAAAGGCCAATGGACCAGTTGCAACTAGAAAAAAATTCACCCATACTAAACCAAACCACCCATTAAAGAAGCCCCCTGAGCCAATCCCCCAAACCCCCAGTTGAAAGTGAAATCAGACACAGTCAGTAGACATGTAATTCTATGATCCATGAGGTTGAGGAAAAATAGGAGGCCCAGCTCTCCATGTGCCCTCCTCTGACTCGTACCTTGTCCATTTTTTCTAGGGGAGGGGGGTTAAAAAGCAGCCACTATCCCTCACACAATGTCTCTACTGCCACACAATCTATAGGCAGCTCACAGTACAGAAGCTCAGGCTGAATCTGAACAGCCCTTGCTTTGAAATTAATGCTAAGGGTGCATCCTCCAGACTCTATTCAGGGACAAAGAAAAATGGTACAGATGCCTCAATTCTTGACTCCTTCTTCTTTCCTTCCTTCCTTCTCTCTGTTTAGAGGAGTTTCTAAGACATTCACATCTTCGCATCCCAGAGCTTCTGAAAAGGTCCTTTGAGGCCCTCCAGCCTCATTCCACAGGAGAAAACACATGTCCAGAGAAGGTAACTAACTTGTCTGAGAGTACTCTGCTCATTCAGGGTGGAACCAGGACTAAGACCTAGGACACCTAAATCCTACACCACTGCCTGTATAATTTGTCTTGGTGATGAACTCTCTCCTTTTCCCACCACGGGCAGGCAGCACCCTGCATTCAGAGGAAAAGACGACTAAGCAGAATAACTGGTGTTCTTGGAGGAAACTTTCTCAACAATGTTGGTAAGCACGAAAACCAACTGTGGACACACAGACTCTAACCCTAGCTCTCCCCAAGGAAGCATGTATGTTCCTGTGAACGCAGGAACAAATGGGCAAAGGAACATCACATGAATGTTGAATAAGAACCACTTTCAGACATGGAAAAATCCATTTCTTAACATGAATGGTTAGAACCAATGCTCAAATCCCAATCAGGAGTCAAGAATCATTCAGAAACAAGCCATTGAGTAGAGAGAGGCTGACTGAAGACAGTGGAATGACAGTGAGATACAGGAGTTGCTCCCAGGACTGACGAGTGGGAACTGGTCACACGGAGGGCACAGGCACCGAGTCAGCTGTGAAGGGAGAGTGACCCGGAATTGAATCTTTCAGGATAGACACTATCCTGAAACATATTAACTTTTCCTCTTCTCAGTCCTCTGAGTGTGATTATACAGTTTGTGGAGAAATGCTATGTGTGCTTACTGATTTTCAGAGAGAGAAAGAGAGAGTGAGAGAGAAACATTGATTGGTTTCCTCTCATACGTTCCCCAACTAGAGACTGAACCCACAACCTAGGTATGAGCCCTGACAGAGAATTGAACCCATGAACTTTTGGTGTATGAGACGATGTTCCAACCAACTGAGCCACACAGGCCAGGGTGAGAAATGCTGTTTTAAATGTACTTGGAAAATACTTATTATTGTATTGCTATTGAACTTAAGTTTTAAAGGATAGATTTAAAACTCTAGGCTTAAAAATTATTCATTTATTTTTCCAGGAAGGGTCCACTTTGTTATCTTTCACCGACTGCTTAAGGGGCCTTCTCCTGAGTATGGGTGTGGCCAGGATTTATGTTCCTGGCTGGGAGGATATGCAGGCCAGGCAACACACTGGGCAAAGACAGCCAGGAGCCCCTCTGTATTCACTCACCCCTTCTTCGTGCCAAGGACAAGGATGTGATGGCTATGCTGGAGGCAGCCATTTTGTGACTCTGAGGCAACCCTAATGATGGAAGCCAAAAGTCGAGGATGGTGTAGAAGAATGATTGAAAAAGTTTCTACACCACACCTGCACTATCTCCTCTGGACCTTTTTTTTTTTTTTTTAATGTTAGAGAAAAACAAACCTCTATGTGTTTGAGTCTTTATTTTTCTCTATTATTTATAGTCAAATACATTTCCTAACTGAAATATGAAATGCATATAAATATATATCCTCACTCATTACATATCCAATGCCAAGAAACTCTGACATTGAAGAGTGAGACAGAAATTACCAAATATTTAAAGAGAAAGGAAAGAGCAATAAAAGGCTATTGATCCCAGTTGCACTAAGAGAAATTCCAATTCAGAGATTGCAATTAAAATAATGGAGAGGAAAACACCCCAAACCAAATTACCTGTTTCCCTAAAAAGAGAGGTGCTTTGTTGTGACCCAGAGGACTGATTTGAGAGCTACAAATTGAGAAAAGGCTTTGGGTAAGTGTTTAATACAAATCATCCTTTAAAAACATATAGCCTCTGGGCAAAACTGAGCTCCATGAAAATGGTGGCACAGAGAGTGAGTTCAAGAGAGCATACTCTGATTTAAGGAATGCAAAATCTTCAGGAAGCAAATGCAAGTCACTGGAGCATTATTCTCATTATTACTAATGGTTCTTAATAACTACGGGGCAATATTGAGTCTCTAGTTGGCTGAAATAACCAGAAATTACTTCTTGTAGCTAAGCTAATAACTAAATATAATTAGGGGAGGGGGAGGGAAGAGATTAACTACAGAACACATATGCATACATGCATAATGCATGGGCACAGACAATACTGTAGTGAAGGCCTGGGGTGGGCCAAGGGCTGGGTGGTCAAAAAGGGGGGACATCTATAATACTTTCAACAATAAAGATACATTAAAATATATATATAATTTGACACTAAATTACAATGTCAGATACACAGCTTTCTGCACAGTCTCTTATTGCAAAGGAAAGCTAAGCAAGAACATCAGTAAAAAGAAGAACTCAATTAAGTGTCTTTCCAATTGGGAACTATTTAGAATTGAGAGTTTACAGAATAGTAAATACTGAATTGTTCTGTCCTGATTAAAAAAAAATCAGGACTTTATCATAAGACATTTTATTTTATTTTAAAATAAGTGTTTAATCAGTCTGAATTATTTTAGTCATTTATACAATGATCTTAATCACTGTAAGTTAATCAAGGCCTAATTTCTCATGAATAGATTCACACTTGCAATTTAAAATTTAATACACAGACACATTTTTCTATACTCAGAGTGGGTTTATAAACATAGTCCCAATCATTTTTTTTAACCAAATATAATAATTAGCTATGATATCTGAGTGAATTTGCCCAAAAGATGAGTTGGGGCCAATTAATGTGCTCTGAGCTATTAGTCTTTGGACAGCAGGTATTTGATAAATGTTTGTTGAATGAATGTGTTACCTTAGAGTCTTCAGAGAAGGTGTTTTAGAAGCCAGGAAAACCTGATCTGGTTCCTCCAGGCTGAATTTCCACAGGGGAAGTGATGACATATCTAGTCCTGAATCGGGTAAATCAAATTCTCCAGGGAAAGCCTCCACTTCCAGAGCTAGAGGATGGATCTCATATTCTTGGGCAAGGATACCTTTGGTGAGTCTTACTATTAAAGCATGGGTCACGTAGATGGGCTTCTCTACATGCATAGATGGGACTGACCCCAGAGGGACTGTGAAGACAATGCCTAAAGACATTTAAACCATACTTACTGCTGGTGGAGGACACGTGGCTGTAGTCAGACCTGAAATACAAAACCTTAGTATTAATAGGAGTTAACATTTTTTTCTTTACTCAAATGATTTCTCCAAGCTAGAATCTTAAAGTCAGTGGCAAGAAGCATTTAATTGGTAAAGAAATGAAAAATTAAAAACTATAGTGTTAGCACAGCTTGTACAAAATAAATTTATGTCTGAATTTAAAAGCAAAACTTAAAAGGTACTTTAGAAATCAAGGGTCTTTTGGGTTCTGGTTAAGATGGCAGAGTAGGTGGATGCTGCACTCACCTTCTCCCATGACCACATCAAAATTACAACCAAAGGATAGAACAATCAATCTGGATAATCATCTGAACAATAGCTAAACCAAAATCTATAACTAAAGATATAATGAAGCCTCATCGAGACTGGTAGGCTGGGTGGAGACATAAAACAGGTTGGCCCCACATCCACATGTGGTGGTTGAGAAGGGATATTTCAGCTGCACAGTTCTCTCCTTAGGAGCAAGGGGTCTCAGCCCCACATCAGGTCCCTATCCCGGAACACCAGTGCCAGAAGAATAGCTCACATAACACCTGTGAAAATCAGCAGGGATTGCATCCCGCTGGATGAGATGGAGGCTGCTGGAAACTCAGGTGTCCTCTTAAGGGCCAATGCACAAACCCTCACTCGCTAGCAGAGCACTCACCTTGGGCTCCATGAAGGGCCAGCAGCTTGGGAATGGGGTGGCACCACAGACATACAGGGAGAAACTTAGTTGTGTGACTTCAGGGCAAGGGCTGGAAGGACAATCACACTGTCCCTGTGTTGAGCCCTCCCTGCACACAGCCTAAGGTGAATCTACATTAGCCAGGTGAACTCCACCGGCTCCACCCTGACAATTTCCTGAGACACTGCTCAATCCATCTTGTGCAAAACCCCAGGCTCTCTCAGCATCAACCAGCCTGGTCCTGCACTGCAATCTTTCCTAAAAAACTCTCAATGAATTCCATCAAGCTTGAAGGGTACTAGAAACATTCAGGGAAAAACTGAGTTGTGTGGCTTCAGGGAGAGGGCTGGGAGAATGGGCTCCATTTTTCCTGTGTTGAGCCCACACCTCACACGACCAAAACTGAATCTGCATCAGTCTGGAAGACTCCACTAGGTCCACACTGATAACTCCCTGAGACCCCACACTACCACAAGGGTATACAGACCATGGGTGAGTGGCTTTAGGCCTCAGTGTACCATGAGTCTTTTGCTAAAGGGCTTGGCCCAGTGCTTCAACCAAATCTGAACCTGTATTAGCCTAGTGAATGCCATTCTCCCTAACCTGGTGACTCCTTGAGACCCTACCTCACATAATTTGGGTGCTACCTTGAGCTCTTTCAGTAGCTGGGCCTTATAGGTATCTGGAAAGCAGAGGCAGGTTTTGGGGTACCTTGGGTCTTTTAAGCTCACCTGCCTCAGGCTCAGAACTGGTGGCAGCCAGCCTTAGATCTGGGGCCCCTACCATGTGAATCCAGGCCCAGCACAGGCAGCTACAAACTGAAAATCACATCATAGGTCATAACAGGTAGTGCTGGATCCATCACAGGCAGCATCGGACATTGACCTGTACCAAAGTCCCTCCCAAGAGGCCCCAGAACCAACATACATGGTGGCCAGAAAACAACAGAGCACCATCCAATTAACCTCACAAGCAGCACATACAAAGGGAGGTCTCAGCAGGTTTCAGACCTCGTTATAGTGAATCCCACTTCATGGAGTCAGCCCCTGCAAAGCAGCTTATATGTTGTGGTCATGGCCAATCCACAGCCAGCCAGCCTAAGGGTCAAACCCACCCACTAATGCAATAGCAATCATGGCTCAACTACAACAAGAAGACACACACAATCCACATAAATGATACACCTAGAGTACCTGGCTCAGGTGATCAGGGAGACTGCACCACTGGGCCCCAGAGGACACCTACTATATAAGGTCATCCCACCAAGATTAGGAGATGTACCAGAGCTACCTAATACATAGAAATAAACACATAGAAGTGGCCAAATGGTGAGACAAAGAAACATGTCCCAAATGAGAGAACAGATGAAATGTGTAGAAAAAGAACTAGATAAAATGGAGGAAAGCAATCTGTCAGATACAGGGCTCAAATCACTGTTTGTTGGGACATTCAAAGAACTTTGGGGGAAAACTGATGAACTCAGAACTTCAACAAAGACATAGCAAGCATAAAAAATGACACAGAAACTAGAAAAAAGAACAGGTCAGCAATGAAGAATACAATAACTGAAATGAAGACTATGCTAGAATAGATCAATAGCACATTAGATAAAACAAAGGATAAAATCAATGATTTGGAAGACAAGATAGTAGAAAACATCAATTACAACAGCTAAAAAGAATTTTTAAAAATGAGGATAGCCCTGGCCAGTTTTTCTCAATGGTTAGAACATTGGATAGTGGAGCAAAGAGTTGTGGGTTCAATTCCAGCCAATGGCAGGTACCTCAGTTGTGGTTCATCCCTGGCTCTGGCTGGGGTCATGCGGGAGGCAGCCAATTGATGTGTCTCTCTCACATTGATGTTTTTCTCTCTCTCTCTCACTTCCCCTCCCACTCTATCTGAAGATATTTGGAAAAATATTCTTGGGTGGGAATTAAAAAAAAAATTGGAAAAAAAAAGGAGGATAGTTTAAGGGACTTTTGGAACAACATCAAGTGTAACAACATTTGCATAATAGGTGTATCAGAAGGAGAAAAGGGAGAGTAAGGGATTGAGAACCTATTTTAAAAAATAATGACTAAAATTTCTTTAACCTGGCAAAACAAAACAAAAAGACATAGAAGTTGAGGAATGCAGAGAATCTCGAATAAGATGAACCTAAAGAGGCCCACACCAAGACACATCATAATTAAAATGCCAAAGGTTAATGACAAAGAGAGAATATTAAAAGCAGCAAAAAAAAAAAAAAAAATAGACAGTTACCTAGAAGGAAGTTCCCATAAGACTGTTACTGATTTCTCAACAGAAACATTTCAGGTTGAAGGGATTGGCAAAAAATATTCAAAGTTATGAAAAGCAAGGACCTACAACCGAGACTACTTTACTCAGCAAGGCTATCATTTAAAATTGAAGGAGAAAGAAATTCCCAGACAATAAAAAGCTAGAGAAATTAATTACTACCAAAACTACATTACAAGAAATGTTAAAGGGACTCCTTTAAGAAGAAAAAAGAAAAAAAAAAAGTAACATAATTATAAAGAATAAAATAGCAACAAATACCTACTGATAATCACTTTAAATGTAAATGGCTTAAATGCTCCAATAAAAAAAGTAAGTAGCATAATGGATAAGAAAACAAGACCCATATATATGTTCCCTACATTAGACCCACCTCAGATACAAGACACATGGAGACTGAAAGTAAAGGGATGAAAAAAATATATTTCATGCAAATGAAAATAAAGCAAAAGCTGGGGAGCAATACTTACATCAGATAAACTAGACAAAGGCTATAATAAGAGACAAAGAAAGACATTACTTAATGATAAAGGGATCATGTCAACAAGAGGATATAACCTTTGTAAGTATTTACACACCCAACATAGAAGCACCATAATGTACAAAGCAAATAGTAATGAACATAAAGGGAGAAAGTGACAGTAATACAGTCATAGTAGGGGATTTTTAACACCTCACTGATATAAATGGATAGATCTTTCAGACAGAAAATCAACAACAACAACAACAACAACAAAACAATGGCCTTAAACAACACACTAGACCAGATGGATTTAATTAATATTTTCAGAGCATTTGATCCTGAAGCAGCAGAACATACTTTTTTTTTTTTTCAAGTGCACATAGAACATTTTCCAGGATAGACCACATGTTAGGTTAAAAACAAGTCTCAATAAATATAAGAAGACTAGTATCATATCAAGCATCTTTCCCAACCACAATGTTATGAAACTAGAGATCAATTTTAAGAAGAAAACTGAAAAACACACAAACACATGAATGCTAAACAACACATTATTAAACAATGATTAGGTTAACAATGAGATCAAGAAATAAATAAAAAGATACCCTGAGACAAATGAAAATGAAAATAAAACATCACAAAATCTATGAGAAAGAGCAAAAACAGTCCTAAGAGGGAAATTCATAGCCATTACAGCCCTACTTTAAGAACCAAAAATAATTCTCAAATATACAATGTAACCTTACATCTAAAATAACTAGGAAAAAATAACAATAAACAAAGCTCAAAGTGAGTCAAAGGAAGAAAATAATAAAGTTCAGAGCAAGAATAAAAAAAATACAGTATAAAAAAATACAAAAGATCAATGAAACCAAAGCCGGTTCTTTGCAAAGATAAACAAGATTAATAAACCTTTATCCAGACTCATCAAGATAAAAAGAGAGAGGATTCAAATAAATTAATTTGGAATTAAAAAGGAGAAATGACAACTGACAATAGAGAAATACAAAAGAATAAAAGAAAATATTACAAACAACTAATTATATGTCGACAAATTGGACAATCCGGAATAAACAGGTAAATTGGTAGATAGATACAGTTTTCCAAGAGTGAATCAAGAAAAAAAACAGAAAATCGAGCAGACCAATTACTACCAACAAAATTGAATCAGTAATAAAATAAACTCCTAATAAGCAAAAGTCCTAGACTGGATGGCTTCACAGGTGAATTTTACCAAACATTCAAAGAAGAATTAACACTTCTTCTGAAACTATTTCAAAAAATTCAAGAGGAGGAAAGGCTCCAAGATCAATTTAGGAGGCCAGCATTACTCTGATTCCAAAACCAGATGAAGACATTACAAACAGAATATTATAGGCTAATACCTCTGATGCACATAGATGTAAAAATTCTCAACCAGATATATGCAAATTGAGTTCAGCAATACATTCAAAAGATCATACATCACAAGCAAGTAAGATTTATTCCTGAAATGCAAATTTGGTTCATTATCAGCAAATTAATTAATGTGATATACTACATAAACAAAATGAATG